TTCATAGACGACACAACAGATTCGATGAAATCGGTCCATTCACAGTTTTTGTCCTCGCAAAACATATAGAGAGCGTTTTTGTGGACGCCAAGAACGGTGAAGGTGCCACGTGACTGATGTTATCTCGCAGAAGTTATACACTTCGCTTGGGAAGTGGATGCTACGGACAGAAGATACAATACAGGGTATCTCCCAGTGGCGGAAGAAGAATTGGTAGAGTCCATGAGCTGCGTTGATCACACGTTCTCTCGCGCAGGAAATGGCTGTGAGATGTCGGCTAAAACTGTCCCAAATCATTAAAATATAGCGTTTGCACTTTGTGTATACGACCTCGAAATGTCTTTTGCCTCGTTTGCAATGTCCGCTGGGCCCATTTTGCTGTAATTCCCCTTGCGTCCAGATCAGGTTTGGTTTGGTTTGGTTTGGTTTGGTTTGGTTTGGTTTAGGTTTAACGACCCATCAACCATTATGGTCATTTAAGAGTTAGTTTTTGAATTTTGGGATCACACTTTTTTAATGTAGTTTATTTGTTTTGAAGTTGGTGCACGTGTTAGAATGGTTGTATGCATTAGATTGGTTGTACACATTTTTATTTTAATTAGATTTTGTTGTATAGTCCTATTTTCTTTAAATATGCCATTAAATGATCTATCTTGGTGTGTTCAAATAGTTCTTTCATTGTTTTTTTTATGTAGTACTTTTTCCGTACAGATGAAAAGTCAGCGCAGTCCATCATGAAGTGTCTTACAATATATGGGGCATGACAGGCTGTGCACCATGGCGGTTCTTTTTTTTTCAAGTAGGAATAGATGAGTTATTTTAGTATGTCCAATACGGAGTCGAGAAAGGATAACTTCCTCCCTTCGTGATTCCCTGTAACCCTGTAGCCATTCACCTAGAGTGGGTTTTATTGTTAGTAATTTATTTATCAGGTATTACATGATTCGTCGTATGCCGTAGCATCGCGATTTTTGAACTCCTGCCAATAGTTTGATGAGTGAGTGTGCATCCGAATGATACCAGAGTGGTTGATGTAGTCCTTGGTGTAAGTATTTGGCTCGGAATTTGTACTGTGCGACGAGTTTGGGCGTATTTTGGTAGTTTTTTTAGCGTCAAGACAAATATTCCCGGTTCGCGAAAGAACTGTTGTAGGTGCTTTTGATAGATCGCTACCTGGTGGTCACTAGGATCAATCATGATGATGAGTGTAGATGCTTCGACTGAGTCTACGGCTTGTAGAACTGCCTTGCCAGCACATCGTCGGAAGCCTGTTCAGCTCGAATGTTAATGTGATCGAATATCTCTTCTGTAAGGATGGGTGAGGTGGCGTGGTAGGCAAAAAATGCGGCGGCGGCCTGTCTGTGAAGTTTGAAGTTCTAGCCCGAGGGTAGAAGCTGGAAGTTGACGAGGTGATAGTGTTTGTTAATGTTCTGGACCGGAGACTGATCTGTCACATGTCATCCGGTCCCGACCGAAAATTCGTTTAATTAAGTTGGTTTATGTCTATTGTTTCAGGTTGTTCTGTGCCCGTTTTAGGCGTGTTTGCGGATACGGCCGCAACGTTTACTTGATCACGAGGTGGGTAGAAGTAACGGCAATTTTAGCCCTTGAAATGTGGGGCAGGCCCCTCATGTAGTTTCTGCAAACAGCATAGTTGATTTTGTTATTGGAGTTGTTTGTGGGCGTGCGTTACGTCGTTGTTCTCCAATCTCGTAGAATTGTTTTCGCCGTACATTACTGGGTGGTGTATCCGGCGATGTACCTGTTGTATTTGACGCTTTAATTTTGGCGAAACCCTGATGAATACATTGATTCGCTTGTGTATGTGTTCCCTGTTTTTGTGCGTACATTGCCTCTGCGGTCAGATTGAAGATAGCGTCCGTTTTTATACGCGGTTGAAGTAGTGTTGGACATCGCTTGCTATACCAGCCACCTAGTAGTGGCTGTCCATCGTCTTTACGAGGTGGGGGTACATGTTCAGAGCCCAGGCCCTATTTTTTTCACTTGTGAGCACCGCACCCATATGAGAAAAAAAAACGGTCTCAGCGCTCATTTCGGACTCGCTGTTCTCCGTCTAAAACTTCGCTTTTATATAAACGGCTGCTTCTCTGGTCGTGGTCTCGAGCTTGCCTGCAAAATCGGTGATCTTTTCGCCGTTACGTCATTGCAGTGTCCTTGCTCGGCTGAAGTGCTGAAAGTTCGTCATTTGACTCCCGTGGGTTCTTAGCAGGCAGGTCCTCAACTACTTGTACGAGGACGTAGTCTGTTGCTAATCCTCTATCTGTTGGAATATGCCCTCGTCAAGAAGTTAATAAATACTGTTTCCATCCTCGGATAATGTGTGAGCTTGGTTTTTACGTGGATTGTATATGTCTTGTTTAAATTGTTTATAAATCGATTGACCTCATTACCCGGATGGAAACGTTTTATGTCATGCATAGTGTCATGTAAGGACTATAGTCGCATGAGCCGCTTGTAGTCTATTGAGGTCTGGGTCGCGCGATCCTGAAGGAGGCAGAGTTGAGAGAAGTCAGTATTTCCTGTAGTTCTGTCTGAAGTTCAACAAGTATTCTGCCTTGACGTTTGCTTGTAGATTTCGGGTCTGTTTTCATTTTGAGAACGGTTGCTCGTTGCTGCTTGATGAATTCTAGCATTTCATGGCGAGTAAATGCGCTGTAGTCGATCTTCTAATTCCGGCCTCACGCTTCTGACTCCAGGTTGGAGAACAAACAAGAAACAACGAAGGTTTAAAGAAATAAATAATTGTATTAACATAAAATACAATGTCTCTCGTTGAAGAAAGGATATAAGTGGAGTTGTAAAATGCTTTCGCAGAAGCGTACGGTAGAATAGGAAGGGTGAGTTGTGACTCACTGCGGCAACAGCCTTTGGCGAGTTGTCTTTTGGAAATGGAAATTCAATTGTCTTTGAACCCAGACTAAGATGCCTCCAACTATCGAAAATGTCTTCTTGATGTGTTTTATATACTTTCTTATTTTTATTTTGTTTCTGTAGGCGTGAATGGTTGCTATTGGGTAGAAATTCTGGATTGTATTGCTTATTTTCTCTTTGAATATGTGAGTAAAAACGGAAGCTATGTGCGGAGTCTATGCACAGTTGACGGAATTTTATTTCAATCTTATGTTTCGGAACGTTAACATCCGGCTAGTGGTGAAAATTTGTGTAGCATAAATCAGAAGAAGATCTGGTTTCAGGAAGAATGTAATAAAGACCTGCTCAATAGACGCTTCCATTCCACCACACCGGACACATTTTGACGAAGCGTTCCCAATCATCAGCCAGGTGAGTTATGCCTCATTGTTAATGAGGTATTTCAGACCGGGCATCCGAGGCCTTATGAAGCGAAACTCTCTCTCGTCAAACCGAGTACCTCGATCAAATCGTTGTGAACGGCGCCACTGGCTAACACTCTTTATAGTGCCTCTCACGACCTGCCCGTATCCGAGAAAGAGCCTTTAGTGGTTTACGGCATTCGTGGTAAAAGAAGCTCTCGTTTCGGAGCAAAAGGTGCCTCCGGCCACTCATCCGAATGCACGCTCCTGGGAAAGATGTTTTGGTATCTTCCAGAACGTGCCGTTCCCGTCATTACGTGTATATGTATATCCGATCCAGGAAATGCAGCCATAAAGTATTTCAACGAATCTATGTTCGGCATTCCTAGACCGCCCTAGGATGGTTGGAGGCAGCAGACCTCGCGACGCAGCATAGGAACTTTGTCACCAAAGAAGAGTTGGAATAGAGCTCTCTCTAGAAAACCAGGGTGGACAACAAGAGTGGTAGAACTGACGGTGAAGGATGAGGAAGTATATGGACGTAACTTAGACCTTGGCCCTCCACTGCAAGGAAAGACTCCTTCAAAGTCACAGATTAACCGCGGCTACGACCTTATCCAGAACTACTTCTCCAATTTGAGGTGGGGGGCGGTCGAGAGCGAACCAGATGTCGAGTATCTTGCACGGACCGTCCGTCCAACTGAAGATGCACATAATTGGAAAACCTTTTCACCACGAACCCAAACGCAAGCTGACAGGCTTATGGCAATTAATCTTGGTCTCTGTCACCGTCACATACGTCCGGATTTCTCATCCAACTTCATCGATTGTCGCAAATATGAGAACGTCTTCGGTGTAGGTGGTTTACCTGGCCAAGGTTGTGATCCCGCCAAGTGCCGTGTTAGCCGACAACCTGCACAGGAACGACTCAAGTGCAAACACATAGATTAAGGGCGAAAGTGGGCACGATTGACGAATGGGTCTGGACAGGATGAAGGGCTTCGATCTTACCTCGTTCACCTCCACCATAGCACGGGGGATCGCATAAGATGAATCCAGGAGCAAAAATACGGCTCGAATCTGGCCACGAAAAAGACGTCTCCAAGAAAGGTATCATAATTGATCAGCGCGACTTCTTTAATGACTGTGCGAACCAAATGAAAGTTATCTTAGACCGTCCGACTCTTTACAGCACAACTCTGTTCAGGGCGATGCAAGATGATCGAGCACAATTTGCAAACGGTTCTCAAGCACAACTTGCAAACGCTTCTCAAGCACCTCAGCCAAAATCTTTAACTCTGCGTTAAAACTCTTTTGGCCTGACTGAAATTTCTGGGGTCTTCTACGTAATTGCTTTCAACTTTCCTAAAGTTTTGGCAGGAGACTTAGGTCCCTCAGTTGCTGTGGCTGCAAGTTTTTTTTTCTTCTCTTGAATGTCTGGATCCACACGGCAGACGTCTTCCCCAGTGTGAAATTTACTTTTATTTTATTTTTTTTTTTTTTTGTTCTTGTATTTTCTTTTGAGGAACTCCAGATGATGATCCTTTCTTTTCTGTCGTTATAGGAGATTCCGTCTCTTTCACGGTCTTCCGAGATCCGCCATTTTGGGGAGTCCTGTCAGGGTTCTTAGGAACTTTTTCTAGGTCTTGAATAGGACCTTGACCGCATTACATAGGTCTATCTCCTTTATGTTGGACAAGGTAAGATTTAGGAAAAGTCCTTAGGCTGATAAAAAGTTGTAGCTGCCAAGAAAAAGATACTTTTTTTTATTTCCGCAGGCCGATCCGTGCCTCTAATCGAGCTGAGAGAGAGAGAGAGAGAGAGAGAGAGAGAGAGAGAGAGAGAGAGAGCAAAAACAATAGCATTAATGAACTTTTCGGGGTAGCAATGTTTATTTAAATAATGATATAATACATTGATTTGTGGCATAAGGTTGAAAGGGAAGTGGGTAAAGCTAGGCAATATTATTGATGTGGACCCAAAGTTGGGACCACGGAAGGAAAACACGGATTGGAGGTAAGAAAGATATATTAAACAAAAAGGTTACAAAGATAGTGTAAGTGTAAGCGGAGCTTACTATGTGCTAGTGTCCAATATTGGTAGTCGTACGCGGCTGATACTACGGTATTAGAACACTCACTCTCTCCTCCTCCTCCTCTTCTTCTTCTCTCTCTAGAGTGTTATGTCGCATACTTTATATAGTCCTGGAAGAGTCCATGTTGTAGATATGTTACGGTCTCACAATAATTATATATTCTAATCCTATCTAATCCGCTTAACGATCCACTAACTCTAACAAATGACGTAATCATCACTAGTTTGTTTTGTTTTGTTTTATTTTACAACATATCAACCTCAATGGGTTATTTAATGCCGACAAGATTTTTATTGCTGGTAATATTTTTTTTTCAAAAATGTATTGCTGGTAATAATTTTTCTTAAAAAATTTATTGCTGGTAATAATTTTTTTTACAAAGTATTTCTGGTATTAAAACCTATATTTACACTTTTACAGTGTTTTGACCCCAGTTTTGAGATTAAATATTTATCCATAGCTGGGATCCTGACAGGTGTTACCACCCTGGGTCAGGGTGGACCTGGGAACACCAGCAATTAAGACGTGGTTCCACGCTTTTCAAAACCTCCTGACCAGAGGCCTTGCTGTTGGACGTAGTTTATCGTCTTACCCAGGACGCGGGTGTAGTTTATCATACTCAGGACGGTGATCATCACTAGAATGCATCCTTCTCCATTCGATCCGTACCGCAGTGTCGCAGGGTACCTATTAAAGCAACCATGATTATAAAAATATGTGAATATGTACATTTTTTTTAATATATAAAAAAATTGCAATGACCTGATGGGGGTAGGTGAACAAATAGATAAGACATTCAAACGAAATTGAAACCATCCTATCCACAAGAATAATAATGGCCGCTGTATTCTGTCGATAAACAGAATCAAGAGAAGACTCGATAAAGGCGGGAAAAGAGTGAAAAATCAATGGTAATTGCCCGTTGCTTTAGGAGGAAACATTCAGAATTTATTGACCGAACAACTCGAACTGTCATTTGAAATTTATAAAATTTTCGCTTCAAACAATTTTGCGGGAGAATGTTAATGGTAATATTACGCGTTTCCTTATAAGTAGGTACTTCCACTAATCCGGTATACATAAGGTTTTTTTTAATGAAATAAAAAACTTTAAAAAATTTAGCTTTAATTGAAAGCTAAAGGATTTAACATTTATTATTTCCAGTAAGAAAAATACTATGTGGTGTATTTCAAAGAGAAATTATACTGACCGCAATCGATGAAAATCGGCCATTTTGACACATTTATAAACAAAAGTTAATTCTCGGTTTTAAAAATCTTGCAAAAATAAAATATATATTTCTGAAACGTTATTTAAGAAACTTTAGTAACAAATATTACTTATAGCATAAAATGTATATAAGCATTTCTTAACCACGTGGTCCTGTTTTCCTCTTGTCTTAATCGATTTATTGACAGCCGATTGACTGCCGAGCGTGTTCATAGTTAAGTATGGTGGAGCAGACGATGAATTTCCTATAAGAGCTTTTTTTCCCTGTAAGGGAGGACAACACTTAAACACATGACCTTTTAAGGATAATTTTATAGCTTTGGACATCCATAATTTGAAATTCTGCAAGTATATCAGACATATAGAAACAAATCAAAAATGTTTTTAAAATATTCGGGTTCGTCAGATTGTAATAAGCTTTACAATATACGATGAGTAAATATAGTTTTACTTAATAACAATATTTTCTAAGTGCTATCTCATTGAAAATTAATTTGAAGATTTAAAAACTTTATGAATTATTCAATTTAAAATTGTAAAAAATGAAAAATCTTGTAAAAATTCATTTTTTATTTAATTATCTTTTTCTTCAGACTATATTGTATATTATAAATTATTCATAAAAGCAGTTAAAAGATTCTCTAATAAAAAATAATGTCTTAGTTTTATTGCGATTTTTTTTATTTTTCGATTCAGGACAGATTTTTGGCAAAGAAAAGACAGGGCCAATTTTTTTTTAAAAATCGGTGATTTAAATTCTTCAAACATTTCTGCTTTTAACTAATATAGTCATTAAAAATTATCACATTAAATTTCTCAAGTTTTCACAAAAATAAAGTGGGTGTAACATATGTAAACAAAACATTTTTACCAAGATTTTCTAAAAAAATTTTCAAATATAATTTTAGTTATTTTTAAATATGTAACATTTAATAATTCCTGAAAATTTCATTAAAATCCGACAATTATTTTATTTTTGCAGGAATTTTCAAATTAATGTGTCTGTCTCAGTAAAAAAAGAAACAAAAATTTGCTATGCTCAAAGTTAGTACAAACTATGAGGCAGGAAAAAATTTTTAATCAAAATTTCGAATGTTCTAAAAACATGGAGAGTGAAACAGTAAACGAAAATAAAATGAAATAGAAAATGGAGAAAGGAAACGGAAAAAATAAAAAAGTTAATGAAAATGTGAAACGAGCAAACCAAATAAGGAAACAGAAAAGAAAAAAGGAAACAGTAAAAAAGAAACAAACAATGAAACAAAAGGAAACACCATGAAAAAGTTAAAGGACAAGAAAGGAATAAAAAATAATGAAAACGATAAATTATATAAAAAATGTAACCAAAAAAAAAAATGAAACAGAAAAAATACAACAAGAAAAGAAAGATAAAAAAGAAACTAAATAAAATGAAGAAAGGAATAAAAAAAAGAAAAATATACAAGAAAAAGAAGAAAGATAACAAAAAAGCAAAATGGCAGAAAACAGAAAAAGGTAACAGAAAAATAGAAGCAAACAATAAAAAAATGAATAAAGAAACCAAAGTAAGAAACGGAAAATTAAAAAAAGGTAACCGAATCAAAAAGCTCACTGAGAAAAGGTAAAATAATTAAAGAAAATGAGAAAAAAAAAGGAAATGGAAGAAAGAATAAAAAGAAAAAGGAAAGAACGAATCCAATAAAAATGGTAACTGTAAAATTAAGAGAAAATTACAAAAAGAAAAAAGATACCTAAGAAAAAAAAAAGAATTATAAACAAAGAAAAGAAAACTGAAAAAAAAAGAAAACAAGGAAAAAAAAATAAAAATAGTTAACCAAAACAAGGAATAAAAAAAAAAGTAAAAATGAAACAGAAAAGGAGAACCAGGGGAAAAGGAAATAAATTGAAGCAGATTAAAATGGAAGGAGAGACGTAAAAAGTGAAAAAGAAAAACTAAAAAATCATAACAGTCAAAAACAAAAAAGAAACCGAATAAAAGTTTTAAAAAATAGATTGGAAAAATTAAACCAAATCGAACGAAGAAAAAAAGAATAACAATGAAAACCTTAAAAAAACATTTCAATGGAAACGAGAAACTGGAAAACGTAAGTGAATATAAAAAGAAAAATTGTAATGAAAGTATAAATGGAAAACGATAACATGAGAAAAGAAAAAGAAAAAAAAAACTAAGTAAAAAATTAAAAATAAGAAAAGCGAAAAAAGGAAACAAAAGAAAAGTAAAACGGACCCCCCACACACACACACAAAAAGGATTAAAAAATAAATATAAAAGACAAAAGAAACAAAAAAATAGAACTTCAAAAATAAGAAGTAAAACACAGGGGGCAAAAGGATTCTTCAAAAGAAAACTGTTTGAAAAGTAAACCGAAAAAGAGGAATCAAAATAAAGAAAACCGAAACGAAAGAAACCGACAAAAAAGTGAGAAAAACGTAACAGTAAAAAAAAAAGTAAAATATAATGAAACAGGAACAAATAATGGCAAACTGAAAACAAGCAGAATAATAAAATAACCCAAAAAGTAGAAATAAAAGAAATGAAAAAGTTAAAAAGAACCCATAAAAAAATAACTGGAAAGTTTAAAAAAAAAAAAAACAGAAAGCGTGCAGTATAAAAAAGAAAAGAGAAAACGCCACAAAAAAGAAACAAAAAATATCGAAAATGAAAGAAAAGGGGTTAGCTCTTAAAAGTGTTCCATGCGTAACAACGGCGTCTAAATTTGTACCCTTTGCCCAAATTCATCATTACACATGTGCGAAAAATACAATGACAATACCATGATATCCATTTAAACATTGCTTCCTTGAAACTAAACTCTTTATTTGCTATTCACACAAATTACATATCAAATTAAAAGTATCTAAAAATAGAATCGCCATCAATGTTGAAAAGAAAGTTTCTGGAGTTTTTTCAGGGTTGATGAGATATTTTTATTTATATATAATCGTTTTCCGGCCAACAACCATGATTTGTTGAACAGTTCGTATCTTTGTTTCTCAGAATTATCTTCAAGAAATAGAAGATTCTGTAGCTTTTGTTGAGACCATGATTCTTTCGAATCGACCTGGAACTTGTTTTCGATAGTTGTGAACAATGAAGATAAGGAGGAGAAAAATTGTGGTCCCATTCGTGATATTTGTCAATAAGCATTTCTTAACCACGTGGTCATGTTTTTTCTGACGTCTTAATTGATTTATTGACAGCCGATTGACTGCCGAACATGTTCATAGTTAAGTATGGTGGAGCAGACGATAAATTTCCTATGAGAGCTTTTTTTCCCCGTAAGGGAGGACAACTCTTAAAACACATGACCTTTAAATGATAATGTTATAGGTTTGAACATCCATAATTTGAAATTCTGCACGTCTATCACACATATAGAAACAAATCGAAAATGTTTGAAAAATATTCGGGTTTATCAGATTGTAATAAGCTTTACAATATACGATTAGTAAATATAGTTTTACTTACTAACAATATTTTCTAAGTTATCTCATTGAAAATGAATTTTAAAAGATTTAAAAACGTTATGAATTATTCCTCTGTGGAGGATTGTATTTGACTTCGTGCGACTAACAGAAGTTGAATGTTGGTGGACCGCAATGAAAAAAAAAAACGAAGACTTGAGTAGATAATAAATGGACAATGTTTATTGACGCACATGGGTACTAAGATGCGAAAGCATAGAGAATAGTCGGCCTCAACTCAGCCTGACGTTCAATGAGGGTGGCCGAATCTTTCTTTCGTTGGGACGGCTACAAAACACGTCCGAATCCAATAGTTGGGAAGTGAGAAGAGAACGATCATGTCCATTCCGGAAGTGATGTCATAGAATTCCCAAGTGATCGGAAAACTTTTTGGTTTCTTTTTTTTCTTTTTTGCATTATGGGAAAATGAAATTCTTTTTTTTTAATTCTTTTTTTATTTATTAGTTTATTTTCATTCTCCCATACATCAATCATAGTGTTGTTGACCCATCAACAAAAGTACACCTTAAAACGCTCCGAAACCTTCTGCCTGTCTATATATTCCCACTGCTGTTAAAAAGCTAACTAGAGTTGAAATTATTAACGAATCTTCACTTAGAAACATTATAAAGACATACACTACTTCAATCGACCCAAATGATAAATCAAATTAATTACATACTTTAAAAAAATTTAAGACAACTAACCTTAACCTCAAAAATAACAACACACTAGCTAAGTCAAAATTACAATCAACGAACATTATCTACGAGTTCAAATGCCCTTTAAGGAACTGTTTCCTGATCAAACCGAATACAGAAATAATTGGTCATACAACTACATGCCTATCCAGACGCCTTACGTTACACCTATCTGACCAGAGGTCCATTAAAACCTATTTAAACACACAAAAACCTACCAGACTCCATTCGAAACATACTAGTAGAAAACACAAACATAATCACCTTATCCACTTGCAAAAAAAAAGATTAAAATAATAGAAGCCCTAATAATAAAAAGAAAAAGCCAACTCTTAACAATATTAACTACGAACTAGGCCATAATGTGCTAACCGTGTTCGGAAAATAAAACACCTCTATAACACACTAAAAGCATACACATAACGCACACACTCAATTAAACTGAAAATAAAATAAAGTAAAATCATCCTTGTTAATGGCTAAAAGGTATAGCCGAAAGCGCTCGGAACTATAGAACATTTGGACAGTTTCTACACACTCTGTGTCCAAAAAGGAAAGATTTTGTTCGAACACAAGAAAAATTAAGTAATAAGCTTAATCATAGTACCTTGTGTGTCGTTTTAATGAAAACATGCATATATATATATATATATATATATATATATATATATATATATATATATATATATATATATATATATCTGTGTGTGTGTGTGTGTGTGTAATTTCTATATAGTTGCTATATTATATATGCGCGGTACTTATTGGAAAGCGCTCAATATCAGTGATATAGCTAACATACATAGTTGTATTGAGCCACATTATGGAGGACAGAAATCGACACATTTCAATAAACAAAAGTGAATAAGTGATGTTTTTGAATTTTTTTTTAATAAATTACTATTTAAATTATTTTAGTTTGGTATTTATTTATGTTTTAATAAATTGAATAACGTTTTCTTTTAATTTTTTAGCATTTTAGTAGTCAATTTAATCCTGACTTGGAAAAGTAATAATTCTTTCAGGAAAGGAGATATTAGAAATAATTCCGTGGCTCGGATCTATATTTTGGTAACATTCGGGAGCAGCATTCTCCAGAATTTTTTTCTAAGTTTCTCTTTTAATAAGCGTGGCATTTTTTAGATCAAAGTTGCGGTTTAATTTATTTCTATCTTTACATTTACCTTGTTAAAATTCCTCAGAGGACGAAACGCGTCGGCTAAGATAAGTTTTCTTTTCGCATTTATTCATATTGCCCTTTACAGATATACTCTATCTGAAATTTTTACACACACACACACACACACACACACATATATATATATATATATATATAAACAGAGCATTTACTTAAATATGTGTATCTATAAAAAAAAAGAATGTATAAACATAAAAATTTCTTAAAATAATTGTCGGACTTTGTCCATTTCATAATGTGTGACGTCATTTTTTACATTTAATACGCCATGAGCAGATATGAATGTACGTGAGAGATTCATGGATGATTGAAGTTTAAAAGCAGTAAATTCGACCTTACTAACCGAACGCTCCTACGTGGCCAAATCGGTAAAGGCACGTCAAGCTAAATGACGGTTCCGTATATGATACAGGTCCGAATCCTGTCGGAGGACGAATATTTTCTGTGAAAATTTCTCGGACATTCAGTTCGGTAAATGTTGTTTAATACTGTTTATTATAAACAGAGCATTTACTTAAATATTTGTATGTATAAAAAGAATGTATAAACATGAAATATCTTGGCAGTGGTTCTCAGTTCAAACCATACAACTGTTCATCGCCATCTTCAACAACTTGGAAAAGTTCCTAAACTTAGAAAATGGGTGCCTCATGAATTGTCTGAAAACAACCTCAAATCCCGAGTTGACATCTGCTCTTCTCTCCATTCTCACCAACTTGTTTCACCTTTTTTGAATAGACTTGTGACTGGCGACGAAAAATGGATCTTTTATCGAAATGTTGAGCGTCATAGACAGTGGCTTCGTAAAGGAGAATTACCCCAGACATAGCCGAGAAGGGAACTTTATGGGCAAAAGGTTCTTCTTCAATCTGGTGGGATCGCCAAAGAGTAATCCACTTTGAATTCTTACCACCTAATGCAACAATTAATGCTCAAATATACTGTCAGCAATTAGAGCGTTTGAACGAAGCTTTGAGGAAAAAAAGACCTGCTCTAGTGAATCGAAAAGAGGTGATGTTTCATCAGGACAATGCGCGACCCCACACAGCAAGAATCACGTCAAAAAGATCGAAGAACTTGGTTGAGAGAAAATTCTTCATCCACCTTATTCTTCCGATCTTGCTCCTTCAGACTACCATTTGTTTCGTAGCTGATAATACACCCCAAACGTTGATATATATATATATATATATATATATATATATATATATATATATATATATATATATATATAGATATTTGAATAAAAACAGACCACTTTAAGGTTCCGTGTAATAAGTTATTTCACCATAACCCTTTAATTAGAAATTCACACGTTTTTGACGGACCGCATCAAGCATATGTAAAATTAACGAAGTGAGGAAGTATAGTGTCGAGAGAAGATAAGATATGAGTGGGTTAGATGTACCATTTCAATTCCTTATTCTTAACCCCACTGTGTGTCGGCTAACGCGTATTGTCTCTAGATATCGGTGGGTAAGGGGTGGGGGAGAGGACCGACATTAAAGGAAGAAGCTACAACAACCCTAATAAATTACATTTCACGAGGGCAGGTTTCATTCAAAATCTTAGACGCTGTTAATTCGCATTACTTTAAAGGGCATATTTGTTTTATGCAATCGCTAAATTTACCAAAGATCATATTCCTGTGGAACCCTCCCCTTGGTTAGGTTTAGACAAGCTTTTGTGTACCTAGTTAATGTGAGTAAGTGTTGTTCCTGGCCTGTTCCCAGCTATCTCTTTTGTTATGATCCAAGTCGAGATTCCCAACCTCCCCAGTTTGTTTTTGATCCCTTTTATCTCGACTGGGTCAGTGTTATATTTCCCCATGGCCGTATAATTTTTTATCCTTTTCCACTCCCTTAGCAAGAGAGTCTCTTGATTTTGTCCCATGGGCAGAATACAGCGGCCTCTCTGTTTTGAGGGTTGGACGGGCCCTACTAACATCAGTTATGTTTAGTTCACCTTGTGTTGATTTTTAGTTTATTATTGGATTCATCTCCCTCCCCTCTCATTCTTCTACTATTAGAATTGTATATATAATAATTTATCATCATTAAATTTTTATGGCATGGGCGCGTTTTGTAGATCCTCCTTGAAAGGATGCGGTATTATGGTGTATGGAGGATTGATTGGTAACGGACGAGTTTTTGTGGTGAATGGAAAAAAATTGTAATGAGTGAATGGGTCATGAATCGGATTAGCTAGGTATAGGATAGTTAGTTAAGACCAGCCTCAACCCCCACTTTTTTCCGGCCTTGTGCCAAAATTATGTATTTTTTGCATAATAAATATTGGTCATAGTCATTTTTATTTTATTTTATTTTATTTTTTCCCGAGTACTTTTGCACATTGCGACATTCGTTTTCAAGGATGACGTTTTGCACACGTAACTGTTTTTGATGACGTAAGAGTTACGTGCCTTTTTGTAAACTAGTTTACAAGCTGATTTCCAGTCAGAGATATTTTCTTTTCCTGAACGATTTTAACATACAGTAGCGGCCAGCCCAGAGCCTCGACCTGAATCCAATAGAAAATGTTTGGAAGATAATTGGAGAAAGGGCTCAGAAAAGAAACCCGAAAAACCAGGATCACCTATGGGAGTTATTGAAAGATGAATGGGAGGGAATTACTGCCGATTTTTGCAAGAAATTAATTAGATCATATGGTCGACGATGCATAGAAGTCATTAAAAATAAGGGGATGTTTACCAAATATTAAATTTTGTTGATATTTTGTTCACAATCAAGTATTAACAAGA